AATGTTGTGAAGGCAAACTACATCCATGACTCCTAGCTCACAGTGATCCCTGCGGTTCCAGCAGGCTCTCGGGGTTACACACGTCTACCTGGGCTTGTCACTTGGACAAGACATGGAACTTCTCTGAGTGTGTTTGCTCACCACTAAAAAAATAATATCACAGAGCCTAGGAGCGACTATCTCACAGGCTGCTGTGAGGATTAAACAATATACATGTACGGAGCTTACAAAGTCTGGGCATTATAAGCATTCAAGATACTACTATTTTCAGTATCTAGGTTTTGAAAACGAATCCTAAGGCTAGGTTAATGGACTATACATATAAGCATATCGTATTTACAGGGATGAAAAATATACTTGTCCTACGAGAAACGGTTGTGGTTTGCAATAAGATGCAAAGTGGGCAAATCAAGGAATACTCAAGGAAATAAGCTATTTACTATGCTCCCAGTGATTGCCCCAAGCAATTTCCCTAATGCAGTGTCAGAGGAGAACCCAGGAGATTCTAGTTTGGGTCAGATAGCCGGAGCTGTGTGGGGAGGTGCTCTTCTGCTGAGCACCTATTCATTCACATTTTCAATTGGAGGAGTTTGCTCATCATACTTCGGTTTCATTATTCGCTGAGTGCTCTCTCCCTCTCCCCGACCCCGTCCCAGAGTCTAACATCCTCCCGCTCTTTCCTCTGACATTCAGGATTCGTCACTCGCAAAACCTCCCATAAGCCCCTTCTTTTCTTTGCTCACTCCCTTTGCATCTTAATCTACAGAACTGGCTCGTTCCTATGGACACTGCTTCCTCTTCCTCCCTCTCAGGCTGCAGCCCCTCTGTTTTCCACACAGTTTGTGCCACCGGATTAGAAATGGGGCAGGCGGCATCCATTCCCCTTCCTGCCCCTTAGATGCCTCTAGCATTGTCCCTCATGTCCTCAGACTAGAGTGCCGATTGCTCCTCCTCATTGTACTTACCACCAACGAACTCCTGCATGACCCCCCTTCACTGTGTAAAAATTTTAGCTCCTAAACGGCATTACCCTCTCCATGCTAGTTCTACCACAATTGTCTGTTTCAATTACCCACACAGGGAATCCTGGAATATTGTATGGTAGGCACACCCTTGAAAGAGGAATGGGGGACCCCAGGCCCATGGGCCACGTAAGGCCCGAGAAATCATTTGGTCTAGCCCTGCCTCCCAAGGCATTAGTGGTGAGTTAATTAAATGTTTGACTCAAGAGAGCAGGCTAATGGTTATGTTGATACATCTGTATGGCCTGTGAATGATGTTATAAATATCCAAATGGCCCTTGGTAGAAAAATGGTTCCCCACCCCTGCTTTACAACATCTAGTTTCCTCCCACTGGACCCTGTTCCAGGACTAAGGTGGGGCAATGGCGGGCTGCTGACTTTCAGCTACGGATGCCCCCTCACTCAGGCCGCTCTGAAAAGCAAGTGCACACACTGCCTGATCCCTCAGGACAGCCTGAAACCCAGCCTCCATTTTTCCTCTCACTTCAGACACATATTCCACAACGTTGCCCCGAACTCAACTTGAATACACCTGAATACACTCCCCTCTCCCATCACCCGTTCTTTTAACTCATGTTCTCTGAAACAACAAATCCGCCCCAAGATGCCTCCCCCTTTCACACCATCCCTCCCCCACAGGGCTTCACCCACCCCCTCAACCAGCTTCAATTCCACGGAGACTGATCTTAACTTCCCTAATTTCATGCACCCTCACCTCCCTCACCCCTCACTCTTTTAATCATTGACGCCTGGCAAAATCCCAACTCTAGTCAAATCCAACTCTGTGCCTACTCTGGACACGTTCAGTGGCCGGTCATGAACTTGACTGAGAAAAATGCACAGCCGTGCTGACGGGTCTCATTCAATTCAGGATTAGTAGCTTTAAGGGTATCCTTAATGATGTCAGATTCTAGACAAACATTTCATATCTTCTCCTGAAATCTCTACAAAACTATCATCCCTTTCTTCGTCCTTAACTGATGGGTGTGTTTCCTATTTCACTGAGAAAAAGAAGCTAACTTCTATAAGCCGTCTCCCACATGTACTCACCTACCTTTATTTCTTGCCAAACCCCCCAACATTTCCGACTGCTTCCTTAGAGAACCTCTCATACTACTAAGTAAGACCTATCTCCTCATCTGTTTAAAAGGTCCCATTTCCTTCCCCACCGGTGTGGCTCAAACCAAAAGGTTCCCTGTGGTTGCTGGTGAGGGTTCTTGCCAGGGTTGCAGGTTCCATCCACAGTAGGGATGTGCAGGAGGCAGCCGTCGTTTCTATCTCTCTATCCATCTCCTTCCTCTCTCTCTAAAATCAATAAAAGCATATTTAAAAGATCAGTAACCCCTGCCCCAAACTGATTCTCTTGCAGAGTTGCCATCTATGTTAAAATCAATGCTATTCTTCTCTTTGCTCATACTCAACCCTTGGAGTCGTCTCTAACTCTTCTTTATTTCATAACTGCATTAAATTCAGCATCTTCTATTGGATCTATCTCCATATGTATCCAGAATCCAATCACATGCACTGCTATTTGTCTTATTCAAACCACCACCATCTCTTCTCTAGAATATGACAATAGCTTTTTAACCAGTCTTGTGCTTTTTACCTGGTTAATATACACCTATATCTACCTACATGCATATATAAATGATAGAGGTGAAGACAGATATCTATATGCCTGTATCTATATATATATTGTACTGAGTCATCCTAAAGGAGATGATTGTCTCTTTAGCTCAAAACCCTAAAATGGTTTAACATCTCATTCAAAACAGAAGCCAACATCAAGGCCCTATATGGTCTGGTCTACAACTTCTCTTACTTCTTATTTTACCATATTTTGCCCCCATCCCTCCTTTGCTCTTTCTGGCTTCCAACCACACTGGCCTTTTGATGTTTCTGGAACATTCTATGTACTTGCCTGCTTCAAGACTTTTATAATTGCTGATGATTCTACCTAAAACTCTCTCCCATTAATTATCTTCTCCCTCACTCCCATTGGGTCTTTTCTCAAATGTCCCCCTCAATCCCACTTTTATTTCCTTATTTATGTTGCCCCATATCACTTGTCAGCATTGAATAATTTTACATATCTGTTTGTTTGTTTTAAATAGTGATTTTTTAATTGATTTTAGAGAGAGGAAGAGAGAAATAGAAACATCAATGATGAAAGAGAAACATCGGTCAGCTGCCTCCTGCATGCTCCTATTGAGGATTGAGTTGACAAACCAGGCATGTGCCCTGACCAGGAAATCAATCCAATGATCTCCTGGTTCAGAGGTCAATGCCTGACCACTGAGCAACACTGGCTGGGCTACACATCTGTATGATAACCGTCTGTCTCTTTACCAACATGAACATCCAGGAGCAGTCTCTTTCTGTTCTGGATTTTCTCTGTTGTGACTGCAATGTCAAGAGCCGTCCTTGGCACTCAGTAAAAGCTTAGTGTATGTATGTTGAGAGAGACAGCATTCCAGCTCTGATGCAAATGGGCAGTACAACGAGAGGGGTGACCCACTAAGGTTCTGCTGAAGGAGGAGAGTCTGCCCCCTTCACCAGCCCTTCCATGAGCCGACATTGCTGAGCATAGCTGGTTAACCACAGGACCTGCCAAAATTCACAGTACATTTCAATGGTGGTGGGTAGTTTTCAAAAGGTATAAGATTCAATGAAAGTTGACGGGGCGGGTCGACTCCGTGGCAGGAGGCAGACTCCATGGCAGGGGACCAGCAGAGAGCACACCAGCTTAGAGGCAGGGTGCCCTGCGCCACACAAAGGGACACCGTGGCCGATAACAACACGCATGGCGTTGGCTCTTGGTGAAGCACATCGTTCCCACAGGGACCCCTTAAGATTTGTCTGTTTAAGGAAAAGAGACCGATTTCTCTGAGTCCACTGTCAGGGCCTTTAAGGACACAACAACCTTCCTCCCTGAATCACCACCAGGGTCCACCTGCGGGACCGGCGGGTACGAGTGGAAAAATAATTATAGCAGCTTTTCTGGAACACAACTTTGCCAAAATGGCAACTCAGAAACCACACAGACAGCAGAGTCACATGCACATGTCTAGAGAAAGGTACAGGGAATTCACCTGGAGGGGACTCAGGGCTGGAAATGCCCCCTAAGAACTGGAAGGGCTGCTTCCTTTTCAACAGCGTCTCCCAAGAACAGGACTTACCGTATTTTCGGACCATAAGACGCACTTTTTTCCCCCCAGAAGTGGGGGGAAAAAGTCCCTGAGTCTTATGGTCCAAATATAGCCTACACATATACTTTAAAAAAAAAGTTTTTTTACTTGCCCGGCTCTGTGTGGTCTCTGTGTGCTTGCCCGGCTCTAAAATGGTTCTAAATGCTGCTGTTTACTTTACAGGGTTGATTACATGTGTTTATGACTGTGATGTTGGGTTTTAATGCACATAAAATATTTTAGGACACTATTTGTGTCAGAATCTTTTTTTCTTCATTTCCCTTCTCTAAAAACTGGTGTGTCTTATGGTCCGGAGCGTCTTATTGTCCGAAAAATACGGTATTTGGTCCTTGTGACACTCTGAGGAATGTTAGCACTAAGCCGATTATGGACAAACCTGGAAAGGAAGCTATTACAAAACTACTGTAACGCCCAGCACCATCAGACGTAACCCCCCTGCATGCTCAAGCCTCACATCAGACTAAAACCACCAGGTACCCTCGGGCGACCCTCTCACCTTGCATGAGAAATATGCGGATAACACTCAAGATTACCCAGGGGAAATACATCCAAAATGAAAACAAAATAAAAACAAAAAGCCAGAAACCGTTCACTTGTCTGAGGTACTAACCTTTTGAATCACAGGTGCTTGATGATAACTCTAAATAGGTGGTAACGGCTTAGAAGAAAATGGTATCTACAGGGATAGGGAGCTCAGTTAGTGAGCTGTCGGCGTTCTATATAACTTGTAAGGGAGCAGGGTTTTCATCCTGAAATCCATCGCACTGACCTCCGTTTCCTTCCCCCCGGGCGTTGGCTTCTGCCATCTCTGTGCCATCCACTTCCGACTCGCAGCCTAAATCCAGCGTCCCCTCAGCTGGGCAGGACGACTCCTCTTTCTGTGTCGTTTTTAAAAAATGATTTACGGAGATGCATTAGCAACTGAAAACATTCAGCATACATTCAGAATCCTAAAGCGTTATCACATTTACCTGTCATTTGAAATTTTAACACTGACTCACTGTTTCATGCAAAAGCACACCTTAGAAAAACAAAACTGGCCCTAGCTGGTTTGGTTCAGTGGATAGAGCGCCGCCGACCTGTGGACTGAAGGGTCCCAGGTTCAAATCTGGTCAAGGGCACATGCCCAGGTAGGGGGCTTGATCCCTAAGGGGGGGGGGCATGCAGGAGTCAGCCAATCAATGATTCTCTCTCACTATTGATGTTTCTCTCTCTCCCTCTCCCTTCCTCTCTGAAATCAGTAATTTTTTAAAAAAAGAAAATGTATTAATGATGTTAGGCAATGACTTCACAACTCAGAATTTTAATCAGTTAAATGAAACACCCAAGTAGCTACAAAAAGCAGCCAAAATGATGCAAGGTTAACCTGCAGTTATTGTCTGAGACACACACACAGTAACAAGAGCTTAATGCTGAGTAGCTGAGAATCTCCGTTTCTTTGCCAGGTATAACTTTTTCACATTCAAAAAGAAACCTTCTCCCAGGAAATGAATGGACTTTAAACGCAATCCATCATTTACGAAAGCGGTGACTTCTTTTTAATCTGTAAGAAGCAATGCGCTGCTTTTACTCCACGCAGGGCACGCGGGCGCTGGGAGACCACCGGCTTCGTCCTCGGGATTTCTGCAGCTCAGACGGCGTTTCCCGTGCCAGTGGAAATGGGAATTGTGCTCAGATAATGAGGACTCGGTTATCTGCAGCTCTCTCTTCTTCTCACATAACAAATATGCATTGGGAGTAAGCCTGAGTGGAGATCCCTGTTTGTTTTAAAGACCAAGTAACATTTATTTAAATCAGCACATTTTCCAGAAGAATGGAGAAATTCCTTCTTCTTATGAAAGACGGGAAGGCCTCAGGTGTGAAGCTCTGTCTCCTCCGTCGGCGATGAAGTCCAAGAGTCTGTGGCAACTGCGATCATCTTGAGCTCTAGGCTGATGATCCGTGGCACCCGTCCATGTAGGTTTTTAGGAATCAAGAATGCTAAGAAAGCCACAGCTATTTTCCATTACCATATGTTAGGCTGCAACCACAGATATGTTTTCCTTAAAGAAAAATGCCGTTGTTTATTCTTAATATGAAATCATTTTTAAGACATCTGAAAACGTTTAAGGGGCAGCGTGGGCATTCTTCTAACTTTTTACCCAAATCTAATTTTGTTTACCTGCCCATGTCGGGGGGGGAGGGAGGAGAAAGAGGGCAGAGAATGCATGGCACACAGTAATAACAGACATAATGTGCAGAACAATGCGACTTACTTTGAGAGCATAGAGGCCTGACTTTCCAGGAATCTTGAAGAAGGTTCCATCCCCTATCCGAGTGCTACTGTGGAGCATTGCATTCAGACAGGCTAATGGAGAAGTCCCACTAGAAAACAAAAGTGCGCAAAAATGAAGCAGTCTGAGGCGCAGCTTCCGTGGCAGAACTGTTCTCTGGTCTCTTAAAAAAAAAAAAAATCCTCTCGCATGCCTTTTAAAAATATCCTCCCAACCCCGAAAACATCTACATTACAATAACGGGCCAGTCCAGTTTGCCAAACTTAATCGGATGCATCTGTCTTATGGGCTCCAGGCAAGTCTCCTGAATTGAAATTATGCTCTTATTCATAAAGCAACCGACGCTATATTTCAAAGAAACCGAAGCCCGAACGTTTATGTGCTGCTATTTTGCAAATAATACCAGGAAGCCTCGGTATTTAAATATGACAGACAACTTGATGGTTGCACTTGAATGATCAAATAAACCCCAAGTTCAAGGACAGTTCCGTCCTATAGGTTGAAAAGCAACAAAAGAATAATAAGAGACCCTGGAAGGACTGATTTGAAATTATAAACATTTAAGTCACTGGTGGGATTGCGTTTCTCACAAGGCTAAATAAAAATTTATATCTGTGTTTATATCTCTGACACATCTTCAACAATAATATCCTTTTCTCAAATTTGTCACGTAAACAAATGTGCGCTTGGGAGTTCTGCCCAGCTAATAATCATGTTCTGTAGGGAAGATGCAAGTGACTCAATTGTGAAATCAACAGGGTTTTATTTTGTTTTTTAAAAAAAGAACTCTCACAGTATTAAACCAGTGATTAAAAATACTGAAGCCCATATGTGCAAACATTACTGGAAAGTACCCATCTACACAGAGAGATGTTTATGAAATGTAAGACACATATGTATTTCTTGGGTTAGACTTCAGAGATATATTTTGTGTTTTGTTTGCAAACCGCTATCTTTGCAAACCAGAATTTAGAGCCAGACTTATTACTTCCATTGACTTAGGTTTCCATATACATTTTACCCCCTAATATGCTAAAAGACCAAAACATGGTTGAGCCAATATTGATTAGAATCCCGACCCCACCCTATTCATCTCTCAGGTGAAATATCTGGGGACAAGAGGACCTTTAAGATAATAAGGTTTACATTTTTTTAAAATTTTCTGTGATAGAAACATAATTTTGCATTACTGATTGAAAAGTTTCCCCAAAGCCTCCATGATCAAATCTCTTACTCAGCATGGAACGCCACCAGTAAGATGAAAGAGCCATATTTGCTGAGTTGCCACTACACACTTAATAGCTAGTCAGCATACACACATACATCCCGGTCCTAACGGTTTCTAAGTATTATAATAACAAGAGCATCTTTATCACTTTACACAGCAGCGCTCTGTGCCAACCCGTCAGTACGATTCCGCTGGGCTTGGCAGGAAGCGAGAGCTGCCCTATAAACGTGGCCGCAGAACAATGCGGCTGCAGTGCTGAAGTCCACATGGTGAGGATGCTGCGAGTTTGTGTAATGTCTTCTCTCATGAGCGTCAGCAAGCTCCCAGCCTCATTATTTTCCTTACAAAAGACTTTCTGCTCGAATTTAAAGTAGGCCAGGCCTACTCTTGTCAAGTAAAATACATTCATCTCCCCAGAAAGGTCTGCTCATGAATAAATTCCAGATAAATGATGCTACACATGTTCATACTGAATACTTCAAAATACATATATATTTTATCATTATTCTCTCCAGGCAAAAGCACGGACTATTGGAAGCCGGGAATTATGATGCCAGATTTGTGGAGTTTTAATTTAGTGAAACTGTCAGAAACACAGATTTCCTGTGCAGCCTTGGCAAGAGGATGTTAACACTACAAGTGAAGTAGAATCCAATACATAAAAATGATGCAATGTAGACTTCAAAAAATATAACTTAATAAAATTGTCCTTTTAACATCCACCCTCATGCACATTCTTCCCGATCTTTATTTCTAAGGTCTCAGCACACACAATCCCAAGAGCTCAGATTTAAAATATGAGAGAATAACTTAGCGTTGAAGATAGCTTAAAAAAACACAGAACAAATATAATTGAACATCAGTATTAATTTTTTCTAAGGTACAGTAAACAAAAGATAATTGAAGATAAATTGACTATTAAATAGCAGTTTAATGCTATGCTTGTCACAACCATAAGTGGTAAGCACCCAGTTTCAGATAAATAATAAGCTCTGTTGAGCATAAATATATTATTTAATTATACTGTTTATTAACTCAAAAAACTCAAGATTCACTATAGAAATGTTTAAAAATATGTAATTCACAATCTCCAAAAGTCTCGATGACTTTTTTTGCTCATATTTAAAGTAGGCCAGGCCTAGTTTATAAAGTAAAATATATTCATCTTCCCAGAAAGATCTGTTCATGAATAAATTCCAGATAAATGATGCTATGCATGTTATACTGAATACTTCAAAATACTAGTACATATATTTTTTATCATTATTCCCTTCAGGCAAAAATACAGATTTTTCCCAAATCTTTCCTAAAACAAACATGAAATTTGTTTTATTTCCAAACCCTACAACATCTGCCGTTTAGGAGAATTAGAAGATACTTTACAAAGGCAAACCTGGCAACTCAAATCACTGGCTGCTTGGTCACTTAGTCTTACACATCTCAATCGCAATTCTTTAGAGAACAGTAAACCTGATATAACTTGTTTCATTTAAAACAGTAAAACATTAGCATATATGTGCAGAATATACATAAAATCGTGCATTTTAAAAGTCTTTCAGACCATTTACTATAGCCGTTCTTCTCAACAATTCCCATAAAGCCTAGGAAATCGGGAATGCTTTTCTTGGAAATGAATTTTAACTCCAATTGTACAGGAGTAAATAAAAGTATTATTTATATATTTTTATATTTACAAAAAAAACAGAGCTAGCAAGCATGGCTTGGCCTATTTTAAGAAAAAATATACATATATATATAACAGATATGTGTGTGTGTGTGTGATATATATATCTCAATGACTTACTGAGGGTATAAAAGATGTGTTATATGTGTTAAAAGTCTTAGCATGAACACCTTCTTTGTGACATTTCCTATTTTTAATTAAAACCTTTTATTCACACTAAATGTAAGGGGTAATAACTCAGTCAGAATTTAAAAGTTAAAGATGCTGTAACATATAGGTGTGTGCATATGAAATAATAAAACCAATAATTTAAACCAAAAAAATATATATCTGAAATTTCAAAAGTTACTTACTTTCTAAAAAGATGAATTGGAAGAATCATCCCGAAGTATGAAAGGAAAACAAGGGAAAAAGAAGAAGAAAAAAAGCATTAGTTTTCTACCTTAAAATGCAACTTTGCATCTTATCATTTCAGTAATGGAACAACATACAAGAAACACAGCAGCTCAGACCGGGCTGCCATCTGGAGGGAAATACCGAAGGGCTGGGGTCAAAGGTGGCTCTGACTTTCTTCCCCAACACTTCTGGAACATTTCCATTTTGTCCACAGAGCATGGGCATTTCCACACAGTGATATCATTAGAAATAAGGAAGAGAGAGAACATTTGTGCCTAATGCTTTTCTTCCTGCCACTGCCCATGCCTGGGTGCCTCCCCGTGCACCTGCCAGAGTGCACATACAGCTCACTCTACGTGTTTGTTTTTCCTCATCGACTATAGCGTGTGGAGCCTTCTGGCTTGTTTTCATTTCCCGCAACCCCTGAAGCAGAACAGAGGTGGAATTTGGAGTCAGGGGAGCAGGCATAATTTAAAGTGTCTAGACATCAAAGAACCCCCAGAGATGCTTGGCAGAGACCCGTGCTGTGTGAAATACCAAAAAACCATGGCTTTATTACATCGGGTTGATGACGGAGCTCATAAAATTTTACTAATAGTGCACACTTCGTAAAGGCAATGAATGGCCTATCTATGCCACTAATTTTAAGAAGTGGGAAGAATACCTAGGAAATGAAATTGGAGGAATATTTGCAGACATAACCAAAATACATCATGTTTTGGCCTTCCTTCCCTTTGTCTATGAAATAAAAATGCTTTCACACAGTATTTCAGTAACACAAATCTTAAATTACTTTATTTTATTAAGTATCTCAATAAAAGTTTCAGATGAAAACTATTCCCTGAAAACATTTTTTAAATCTAATCCTGAACAAGGTAAGTCTAAAAATTCAAGAAACTTATTAAGAAGCATTATTAGACAGTTACTGTACTAAATGTTACTAATATAAATTAATAGATACAAGTATATGTTCAACTCTCCTTTCAAAAAAAATTAATAATATCTCATTTCAAGTATTTCCAGTGTAAGATAGCTTAGAGTAAGGACCTTAATTATATTTTAAGAGGAAATTATGTAGGGCTCTGGGGTGCAAGTAATGTTTTATTTAGCTCTTACTACAGATGTGTTCACCATGTGAAATTAAATTACTTACGATTTGTGCATTTAACTTTATGTGAGACTTCACACATACACAAATTTTAACGTTAGGAAAGGAATAATCAACTTGGATTATCTTTTCATTTACATATTTAATAAGCATGTCATTACTAGTGGAGGAAATTAAACTATTTCTACCAATAAATGTGGAAGACTCCTCAATGCATATATACACAGTATATATCACTTGATAAATCATTGAAAACAACCCTAGAAAGTCAAGGCTAAACTACTTTCTTACTTTTAATAGAAATGACTGCTAGTCTGGAACTCCCTAAAATGACTGAAAATAAAAACGTAAAGGCTACAATCCTTTATATACGTTACATGAATAATCCTAGCACATAAAATGTTAACCTAAAAATGACTGCTAAAAAGGTAACTAATAAAAGTTTTAAATAAGCACTGACATATAAGGATTAACAAAAATTAAAGTTTAAAACCATAAAGTAGATAGGAATAACCAATTAATTCAAGAGTTGGGTCATATTTTAAAGAAAGATATTTTGCCCGTTTCTATGTTAAGAATATAAACGTGATTTTCAATATTCTATACATCTCTAATGTAAAGTTATAAATGTAATCCCAGTATTTTCTGAGTTGGATATAAGGAGGCAAAAAATAATTACCCAAGGACATAAGTTGTACAAGTCTTAAATTCAGTGAAACAATTACAGACTCCAAACCTAAGCAATATATCTCTGATTGGCTTGAACAATTATTCTAAGAAGGTATTTTTCTTGAATATAAAGACATTTGAACTTAGACCTTTTATTCACTTTATTGACATTACAAAGCTACCACTAGCTCAATGGCAGTGATTAGTACAGCCTTAGTCACTAAATTGACCTTTCATTTCAGGAGACAATTCCTAAACAGAAATACAAGGACAAAAGTTTGGTTAGTATTAATTTAGAGTAGCATCTATAAGAAAATTAAGAAATAGCCCTATAAAAGTATAAACTAAAACATATAACCTAAATTATAATTTCAAAGACCTCCAACTAAAATATGTGGTCTTTAAAAATATAGCCTTTCACATATGAATAAAACTGAAAATAACTTATTCAGTAAGACAGAGAAAAGAGAATAAAATAATATATATATATATATTATAGCTACCGTTTATTCAGTATCTCTAATGTGACTGAGCTTTTACAACTATCATCAATATTCCTTACAGCACCAAAAAACATAAGCATGATTCCCATCCAGTTTGCAGGTGTAACAGAGGCTGAGAGGTTGATAATATTACTGGAGTCAAATAACAACTAACTGAAATAGCTAAAATTCAGATTCTACTCTGATTCCAAAGCAAATGAGCCTCCCACTATCCCACGTTCTCACTCCACAGATCCACAGAGTTGCCTTCCCCAATTAAGGAGCCTTGGAGATATATATATACACACACACACACACATACATATGTACATATATGTGTGTATGTGTGTATATACATACACATATATACATATATATACATACATATATATATATATACACACACACACACACACATACATATATATATATTAGTCCTTGAAGGAAAGATGTTAAGGAAAGCCAGATGCTGGCGAATGGTCAGGTGGTTGGCTCCATCCTCCCTCAATGATGCCTTCAGCAATGACTCCCCCCGGGATACATGTCTAGTATCCTAAAGAAAGCACAAGGCTGCAGAGGTTGCTACTGTGGGATCTCTCCTTCAGGTGATGCTTCATCTGGAAACTAAGGAAGAAAGGATTCCGAGAGACTGATGGACAGAATTGAGATTCCCTAATCGAATGAGATGCCTCTTTGTAGAGTTGAGTCATCAGGAAATAACACTATCCACTAAATGGGTAATCATTTATTAAGCACATTATATATGTCAAGCTGATGTTGAAACAAATTGGCCCTCTGACAAGGGCTTGGCACTCTCTGAACACATACGAAGAGATAAGGGATGCAGGGAAGAGAGCTTTGAGGCAGGGAGCACAACAAGAAACAGCCATTTGGAATGTAAATGTTATCCCTGGTTTATCCCGACATGACTGGGATGGGATGGGACCCAGCGCACATTTATAATGTCGATTCCAGAAGCTGCCAGACCATGGCCATGGCTGGCTCCTAGGAACTAGAGGCTACATTCTCCCCCATTGCAGTCATAGAGAGAATACTTTCAATTAGGACAAACTATGTATCTTCCAAAACACAATACTGAATTTCAGATATTAAGGAAGAGGCCTTGTACTTATATTTGGTATGATCAATTAGTTTCATATAAAAATGTAAATTTCCGTGCACTACTTGTAGCGACCAGGTCTCTCCCACCTTGTGAGCTGTGGCTAATCCCGCAGTACTTCCAAATGTGTTCTATGGGATGTTAGTCCCACGTGATGCCCACAAAAAATTACCAAATGAGTTTCGGAGAAGCAGCACGCTGCATCCTTTCCTTGCAAACTCACCGAAACACTAAAAATATATACTGATGTCTCTGAGAAACCCTGCTTAACTCAAGAAACATGCATAACTCAGTGTTTCCTAAGCATATTTAATAAAATATCCCCCATTAAAATATTTGACAACATTCCCTATGCCTAGAAATATACCTGGGGAAATGCTATGCTATATTTATGATTAGGATCATTAGGAAAGAGTGACTAGTAGTTACACTCCCAGGAATGTATAATTTTATCAGCCAAATGTTTTTAAAACTTAAATATACAAAATATCTGTTTCTCTATGAAAAAAAAATAATAATAATGCTATGTGGTGGTTATTTTTTCCTGTGTAAATTCATAAAACTGAAAAACCATGTCCAGGAACTCTAAATAGCACTGAAAATGTTATAAACAGTATGCACATGTAATTGAAAGCACTGTATATTTGCAATATTGTATTACCAACGTAAAAACCACCCCAGCTCTCCCCCCACTAGGGGAGACGTGTCTCCTGAGTCCCTATTCCTCTCATCAGTGATGGCCACCATCCTCAGCATCTGAGGGCTGAAGCATTTCCCACACACCCAATTATTCTGCCTCAACAAAGTTCCTCTTCTGTAGGGAGTGGCTATAAGGTTAAGCCTCGGACTGACCTGTTGGCAAAGCCACAAATGAAACTTAGAGGGCACAGTCCTCTTAGTATAATTAAGCTTGACCTTATGACTTCCCTAGATCCTTTCTGGGTAGCTAATGGGCTGTGGGAGGTGCAGAAGTGCTGCCAAAACAAATGAAACTCACAGGAACATTATAACTGTGGTGACTACTACCTTGTTTACCTCTGGCTATAAAATAAAGCATCAGCTTGCCTCTGGATCTCCTTCTCTGTGGCCTCAGCCAGGCACAGGAAGATCCACCAAGCTCCAGCTGTATTCTTTGTCTGTTTTTTTCTTTAATCCTTTGCAGAACCCCCTCAGGCTCACTGAATCACTGAATCTTTGGCTGGCTGGGCACAATCTTTAATTTACATATCCTCTTCCTCCAAAAATCTTTACATCACAAAGATAGTTCTAACCCGTTTCCCCAAAAATAAGACAGTGTCTTATATTAATGTTTGCTCCCAAAGATGCGCTAGGTCTTATTTTCAGGGGATGTCTTATTTTTCCATGAAGAAGAATACGGTACACATTTATTGTTAAATGAAAAGAAAGGAAATTTATTATCTGTATACGGTACAGTAGTACAGTAGTCGTCAACACAAACCAGACAAACTGTGAATCCTACAGAATCAAGAATTTACTCATTTATTCAATGAAAATCATGTCATCATCTTCTGGAACATCATCATAACAACCCAATTCCTGAATTTCCTGGTGGATTTCTTGTGACTCCATTTCTTTCAGAATCAGTGGACCAAAACTCTCATGTTTAGCCCTGGGGTGGGGGTGGGGGGCTTTTTTTTCCCAGGGATGCCTTATATTTCACTCAGAAGGAAACCTGTAAGTAGGTCTTATTTTCAGAGGATGTCTTATTTTCGGGGAAACACGGTAGAAGCTCACTCACGCTACCTCTGCCTTCAGACCTCCTTGCCCCAATTCAGCTCATCCATCTGTACCAAAGCAATGTTCCTATTAGAAACAAATAATAAACAAAAGCAAAAACAAAATTACCCCTCTTCCCCCCCCCCAAAAAAAAAAAAAATACTGCTCAGGCTCTTCAGGCTATGCCATACACTGGGTTTTTATTAAAATGACTTTATGTATGTATTTGTTTGTTTGACTCTATTTATTTAATCAGTGGTTTTCACTGTCCCTGAAACAAAGGAAGCACAAACTCCTCCACCGTCATCTGGGTCCTGGCATTACAGTGCACCTGGCACCTAGCTCATCGTCACCTTCCCCAGCTCTCCGATTCCTCGCCCACTCTCCGACTGTTCTCCCAGGACCCGAACCCATGCAGCCAACCTCGCGCCTCCATGGTGTCCCATCTCCGTTTTGGCTCACGGGAAACTGTCCTCCGGGAAATGCATGCCACTCCCAGTTCCATATACTGCTCAGAACAAACTGCCCCTGGATGGCGACACCTTTAGTCACAGCCCTGTATTGCAGCCTCAACGCAGTGCCTCTCTTTCCGGGCTTCTTTTCATCCAGGGTTTACACTCCTAATCTTCCCACCCTTGTGGCTTCCAACAAGTTTGGGAGCGCCACATGGGTTAGGCATACATTGATTTATCTCTGTAGTATCTGACAGGCAATCTCAATCTACTCGAAAGGTGTCGGCTGAAGTGAATTTAAACACTGCTATAAAAATGACTACAATCATGGATCTGTGGGCATCCAGCAGCCGCAATGAATATCATCTATATCCCATGCAAACTCCTGACTACAATCACGCGTGCCAATCACCCTGCGGAGGACACAGGCTAGGAGACTGATGTTTGCATGCCCTGCCTCCATCCTTCCTCAGTGAAGCTTTCGGGGCAGCCATCCACGAACTGGTCCTGATTTCCCAGCAGGAAGGCTAGCAAGTTTGAGCTATCCCCAGCACTGGGAGTGGCAATATCTTTGGGGAACTGATGGAGAAATAAAGGAAAAGGGAACACATTATTTTCAGTAGAAACATAAACAGAAAAGTTAGAAGAAGAAAAAAAAGGGGGGGGGGGTAGCCGGTGGTGCCGACCTCTGCCTCCAGGAGGACTGACTCCTGAGAACAAAGCTAACCAAGGGAAAGCAAAGTGACAGAGGAACGAGGGGAAAACGGTCATTACGTGAACTCTGCATTATCGAGTCACCTTGAAGACCACCCTACTGGCTGTCCGT